TTAATTTGGTTTAAAGGTTTAAATAAATAGGCAACTCTTTTTTTTTCTGCCCCTGAATGGTGAGCTTAATCATAATTGATTAACCATAATAAATAACCAATAATTGATTTCCAGAATAAGAAGAAACCTCTCAACAATTTAAAGTATTCTTTTCTCTCTATATATATCTCTAACCCTAACCCTAACCACAAAGAAGGTAAATACGCTGTTATCAAATATGATAAAATATTTGTCAGAGAATTTCATAAATAGGAGAGTGTTTGCAAAAAAAAAAAAAAAAAAACCGCAATCTTTGTAAATAATTTATGTAAACCGACAAAATGGCAATCGAAACAATAGAGTTTGAAACCCATTACTCCGATTATTTTAAAACCGCAAATAAAATTTTACTTAACGATTTTTATCACGCAGATAAAAAAATATTTAAAGAAAAAGGTTGTAATACAGAATATTTTGAAATTGATACTTTTAAATCCCAATTCAAACAAGGTAATGAAGATTTTACAGTTTTTCACATAAACATAAGAAGTATTAACTCAAATATCGACAAATTGAAAAGTTTTCTTTTAGAATGTAATTATTCATTCAGCATGATTTGTACTACATAAACGTGGTGTACTGACGAATTTTCTCAAGCAAATTCAAACCTTCAAATTACTAACTACCACATGATTTCTTTTGAAAGAAAAATACCCAAAAGAGGAGGAGAATTTTAGTTTATATTCGGAATGATCTTGAAAAAAAAATTAGAAACGACCTCTCGTTCTCCGATGCCGACAATGAGGCCTTCACCATAGAAATAATCAACAAAAATAAAAAAAAACATTCTAGTAACTACTTGTTACAGGCCACCTGATGGCAATATTATCAAATTTTCTAACTATCTGAACCAAATCTTTATAAAACTCAACAATGAAAACAAATATATATTTTGCATAGGAGACATAAACATAGATTGTTTAAAATACAATGAAAACAATAATATTAAAATTTTCTTTGATAATTTGTTTCAGCTCGGTATATTCTCATTAATTAATGAACCCACCAGAGTCACTTTAACCTTAATTACAGCCATAGATAATATACTGACCAACTTATTTTTAGACATATCTTTAAAAACAGGAATATTTAAAATTGATATATCAGACCACTTTCCAATATTCTTCTCACTTACACAAAACTCTTCCTCAATAAATAATTCAAAAATTAAAACGTATAAAAGAAAAATTAACAAATCTTCGAATCACAAATTTAAAGAAACTTTATCAAAAACAAATTGGTCAAATGTTTATCAACAATGCGACCGAGGACTTACAAATACTGCTTGTAATTTATTTATTGATATTTTTCTTGAGCACTACAATAAACACTTTCCAATTATTGAAAAAGAAATAAAAGTTAAATATTTAAAATCTCCATAGATAACTAACGGAATAAAGAAATCGTCAAAGAAAAAACAAAAACTATACATTAAATATTTAAAAAATAGAAACGAAAAAAATCTTACTGTCTATAAACAATACAAAAACCTTTTTGAAAAAATTAAAAATAAATCGAAAAAAATCTATTATTCTAAACAATTACAAAAACACAATAGTAGCATTAAAAAAACATAGGAAGTAATGAACGATATCATCGGAAAAACCAAAACTAAATCCGAAATGTTACCCTCCAGAATTGCGGAAAATGGTATTGAGTATACAGATAAAGAAACTATCTCCGACAAATTTAATAACTTTTTTGTAAATATCGGTCCTAACCTGGCATCCAAAATAAACAACTCGAACAATTCATTTAATAACTATTTTGCTGACCATACTAGTTCATTTTCTGAGAGTGACCTAAAACTGGAGGAATTTGAAGAAGCAAAAAAATCAATCAGAAAGAACAAAGCTCCGGACATCGATGACATTTCCAGCAATGTAGTATATGATATTTTATCCATTGTAGCAGATCCTTTATTTAATGTTTTCAAGTCATCAATTAGAACTGGAGTTGTTCCGAACAAATTAAAAATTGCGAAGATTTTACCTGTATTTAAAACTGGAGACACGGCATTGCTAACCAATTATAGACCTATCTCAATTCTTCCAGTGTTTTTCAAACTCCTGGAAAGAATAATGTACAACCGACTTTATAAATAATTAGCAGACAATAAAATTCCAAGTGAATGTCAATACGGCTTTCAAACTAATCATTCTACGGAACATGCAACCTTAGACCTAATGGGCAACATTAGCTCGTCATTTGATAAATGAAAATTTGTATTGGGAGTTTTTATCGATCTTACAAAAGCTTTCGATACTGTCAACCATAAAATTCTCCTCGAAAAATGAGAAAATACAGTATAAAAAATCAAACTAATAAATGGTTCACTAATTATTTAAATAATAGGCAACAATGTGTTATTATAGACAGTATCACTAATACGGAATTATTAAAAATCAAATGCGGTGTCCCCCAGGGATCTATTCTTGCACCTTTATTATTCCTTATCTACATTAAAGATCTTCCTAAAGCCTCTACAAATCTCGATTGTATAATGTTTGCAGATGATACCAATCTGTTCTATTCATCTACCTCTATCAGTGACCTCTTTGATAAAGTCAACTTTGAACTTCAAAATCTTAAAACATGGTTCAGTGCTAACAAGTTATCATTAAACGCGCAAAAAACTAAATATATTTTATTTCACTCAAAGAAACAAAAGAACAAACTACCATCAATTCTACCGACACTAAGTATTGACTACAAAAAAATTGAAAGAACCCAAACAATTAAATTTCTTGGTGTGATTATTGACGAAAATGTTTTATGGACAGCTCATATAAATGCTATCAACACTAAAATATCTAAAAGTATTGGTATACTTTTTAAAGCTAGACCATTTTTATCGTAAAAAAACCTAAAACTTCTTTACTTTTCCTTTATACATAGTTATCTCACATATGCCAACATAGCCTGGGGAAGCACACACAAGACAAAATTAATATCTCTTTATCGACGACAAAAACATGCTTCTAGAATAATACATCATAAAAACAAACTGACCCACGCTAAACCCCTATTAAAAGAAATGAAAGCACTAAACATTTACCAAATTAATATCTACGCTAACATTTTGTTCATGCTTAAGTACAAACTAGGATTAGTTCCAAACCGATTCACAGGAAACTTCTTTCAATCTAATATCAACAAATTTAACACAAGAGCAACTGGTAACTTTATTGTACCCCTGAAAAAAAAAAAGTTCTCAACTTTCTATTTCTTATCGTGGCCCATATTTATTCAACAAATTAATTCCGAATTATACCTCGATTTCTCTCCCAGACAATATAAGTTCTTTAAAGTCGAAACTCAAAAATCATGTTCTTAATATGGATAATTACCTAGAAATGTTCTAGTTCTGATGGTAAATCAAAATTTACGCTCAAATTAAAATAATCAGCAATCAAATACATATGGAAAATGTAAATTTTTGTTTAACAAAAAAAGCTAGTATTATTATTATAAACCTCAACACTAACACAAAACATAGTTCAATTAAAAAGAAAAGAAAAAAAAGTTTGCAATAATAACATGTAAAACATTTCTTTAATGAGAATCACATTGTTTATATGTGTGCTTTACGCAATACCTCAAGGTTCTCGATGATAAGACTTATCTCAGTCTTTTACGAGTTCCCTACAACAACAAAACCCTTCTTATCAAGTCATAGCATACCTAATTATTGCTTCCTATACTTAACGGTATTTTGTAAAATGTATTTTTTTTTGTTTAGGAAGTACAGTTTCTTTATAATATTGCAGTGAAAAAAATTTATAATTAATATGTAGTTGTGAAAATTTAAAGGAAAATATATATATATATATATATATATATATATATATATATATATATATATATATATATATATATATATATATTATGTATATATAGATATTTATGTATATACTGATATAATGATAGAAAATCACAACTCAGTGTTTTTAATGTGTTGTGGTTATCTTTTGTGTTATTCCTTTTAAGTTTTTATTGCAGAAAATTAACACTTTTTATATCAAAAATAAAAAGCAAGAATTTTTTTAAAATCTTTTTTTACAATTTTGTGTTTTGATATATAGAAAATTTTCTTTTTTAAAAAATAATATAAGTTTTTAAATTTTATTGATATTTAAAAAACCGCAATAATAATGTCTAGAAATATATATATATATATATATATATATATATATATATATATATATATATATATATATATATATATATATATATATATATATATATATATATATATATATATATATATATATATATATATATATATATATATATATATATATATATATATATATATATATATATATATATATATATAGGTATATATATATATATATACATTGATATGGTAATGTCACATAGAATAGTTGTGATATAGGGTTCCACACTCTTTTTAGATTTTTTTATGGCTTTTAACTTTTTAAACGCAGTTTTAAGGAGAACTTTTTATGATTTCTCAGTCGTATGAAAACCTGGAATTTTTTGTTTATCTAAATATAGAGGTTTAATAGAAGGTAAATGCACCAAGTGTTATTCCAAAAAAAATTAATAAACATCTTTTTAAAGATATTTAAAAAATAAATAACAATTCTAAGTTTATTTGTAATAAAGAAACAAAAAAATATTTGTAGTAGATTTTTATAAAAGTTTTCAATTTAAAATCATTTTCTGACAAACTAATTTTTTCCTGTATCATCCGAATACTAAAGATCACTTTTAACGAATTCATCATTTGGAAGTCTTTCAAATGCCTAAACATTATCTGTTTCCCACCATTAGTAATATCACATTTAATAATATTACGTCAATACATTTTTAAAAAAACTCAAAAAATATTTTTTGAAAAACTTTTTAAATTAGCTATTTCAAAATAATCAAAAGCCTATTTTAAAAAAACAATCAAACGTTTAATCAACATCAATAGTGTACACATATCTAATTAAATTTACAATTTAAAATAGTTAAAAATTACCATATATCAGCTTTTTTTTCATATTCTATATCAAAACAGGTTGAATTAATGACTTCAGGACTCATCCAGTAGGGTGTCCCAATTGTTGTTTTACATCCCGCCTGAGAACGAATTGTCTAAAAAACAGTTTTATGATTTATACATGTCACTAACAACGCAAGAACAAATAATAATTTTTAATAAGTTAAAAAATTTATATAAATTTAGATATCTGTGTGACAATTAAGTTATTCATTAAGTTATCCTTAACTAAAATATTTAAATATCAAGTTATATGTCTCATTTTACAAATAATCGATAAAAACAAAATAATTAAAAAAACAAATAAAACAAAACAAATGTTGATAAATGCACAACATTTCAGTATCATATACTTGAATGGCAATACTGATTTGCCATTACACCTCCTAGGGCCAAAGACACGAGTTTTGAAGTGGAGGAACACAAAGACACAGGTTTTGTAATGGCGGAACATTAATCACAAAAGGGTGGGGTGAGGAAAGGCAGGTGTTCTCTTGCTGGGGTCGGTCATTTTTCTATTTTTTTGACAGCAAAATCTAAAAACCACCAGTTTTTTCATAAAAAAAGTTATTAAAAATTGAAAGTAAGTTAATAATTAGACTGAACATAGATAAAAGTTTTGAATTTATAATTTTATGCTTTTTTAATATACTTTGTAAGTTATACTTTAGAATTATAATATTAAAAGAAACCAAAAACTTTTTTATTTTTGTTTTTTGAGTTTTTGAAACTATTTTTATCGGAGGTTCATGATGTTGATTGGTTTTGAAGTTAGGTATTTGCAAAGATTTTTTTAAATAGAGGTTCAAACACTTCTGCAATATCTATCAAACAATAATACGCAATACGAGTTACGAGCAAGATGTGTTTTTTCTAAGAAAAAGAGAGGAAAAAAATAGTATTTAAAATATGTTTCTTTATCAATAAAATGATTGAAAATAGATTTCATATCATTTCAAACAATGAAACTCTGCCTAGTAATAAATTTCTTGTTTCTGCATTAAAAGAATGGGTAATTGTTTCGAAAGCAATTCAAATGGAAAACAAAGAAATAAAGAGGAACTCAGTTTTTGAGAGAAAAAATACTTATTCAAATCAATCTTATTGAAGATCTTAAAGTAACGAAACTTTGGAATTAATTTGGAGTATATTCCTATCGAATCAAGTTCCAAATATAAATTTCGATTATCATGCACAAAGTGAAAAGAATTTTTCAGACGGTAAACCTACAAAAAACATCATTGAACAATCTCGTGGTAAACCATGCTCTCACGTTGAAACAAAACATCAAGCTTCATATATAAATTTCAATTATCGTGAACAACGTGAAAATAAAATTTCATATGCAGAAACTACAATAAACGTCATTTAACAATCGGTATACCATTGTCAAACGTTGAATCAAAACAAAAACCTCTATTTTAAAAAATCTTTGCAAATACCTAACTTTAAAACCAATCAACATCATGTACCTGATAAAAATAGTTTCAAAAACTCAAAAAACACAATAAACGATGTTGATGATCTAAATAATTACATCTTAGTACGTAGAAATAAAAAACTCTCCGGTCAAGAAACAAATTTTTCCTTGAAAAAAAAAAAAAATAAATCTTCAGCCTGTTTTCGACATTAAATTTCCAGAAAAAAAAAACAATAGTTGGCAAAGAAGAATTTGTCAATTTGAACTTTTTGTTGAAAGCGTTAGCAAGCAAATAAATGAGGAAGATTAAAAACTCTATATAAAAACGGAAATAGGTGTCACAGATATATCAGTTAATTTAAACAATGAAAATCAATACAACAGATCTTACAAAGTTTCAATAAACAGCTGCGACAAAAACAAAATGTTTAGCCCTGCTCTATATGGGATAACAATATAATAGTTAAGCCGTTTCGAAAAAAGCGCCTATATTCAACCATAGTCCAAAATCTCGAAACAAGGAAACCTTTTATATAAAAAAAAAAATTGATTCAGACAGTCAATTAAAGGAAGATATACTTCTTATAACGTTTAAATTAAGTAATTTTAACTGCCATGGACCTTAGTCAAACATTGAATATACTGAATCGTTGATAACTTCACATCTTATAACTTTTATATGCGAATAAAAATAATCGGCTTTATTAGAATTTATAAAAAAAAAAATTATTTTGAACTAGTAGACGTAATTTAAGGTTCTTGCCCGAAAATAACGCATTAACATCATACAATACCAAACGCATCTTACATTGGTCACATAGCTGTCTCAAGGAATACTTCTCTTTATTATGAGAATTGTATTGTAGCCTCTTTTTCATCTCAAAACATAAGTGATCATTTACCAATATCAATTAAACTTGAAAGAGGCCAAAATTTTCGAGAAAAAGTTAATAAAATTATAGATAATAATAGCATTCCTTATTATGCCTAGAATATTCAAAGTTTTATACAATTGTATAATGAGTTTTATAAAGGTTTTATACAATTGCATAACAACAAAGTTTTATACAATTGTATAATAACAATTTTAACAGTTTTCAATTTACGAAAAACAATTACAATGAAGAACTTATTGAAATCTATTCTTTTATTATAAAAAGTGCATCTGAGGCTCATAGCTAACACTTATTCTTGAAAAAACAATCTTTATATTCAAAATCTTGGTGGACTCCAGGGTTAAGCTAGAGCAATAAAGTTCTTACATTTTATTTTAAGAAATGATGTGAGATGAGTTTCGAAAAAGATTTAAACTCGCTTACTTTTAATCGGTATCGAACGGCACGTCAAAGTTTCCGCAACGCTCTTAAAAAAGCTCAAAATTGTAACCTTTTTAAGCAATACACAAAAATCGAGAAGCTAAAAAATACCAACCCAATAAATTTCTGGAGTACCTTTAAATACATAAAGTCTGATATACTAATACAATACTATTTACTATTAATAAAAAAAAGGACAAGGAAATAATCACTAAAGAAGTTGCCGATAGTTTCGAAAAACGTTTAAATACCAAAGCAATGACGCATACTACCGCAAATTTTTAAGTTCCATCTTGTATCAAATTTGATATGGTAGTAATATTCGATGAAAATATTAAAACGGAGATCTCTCGCCAAAAATTAAAAAAGACCAAAGATGCGTATGGAATCTCTACAGAACATTTAAAAAAGAACGTTGCAAAACCCTAACAGAGTGGCTCAGAAAATTCTTTAAATTTGTTAATAACCACGGCTAGGCAACAAAATTGATGTCTACATTACTTATTATACGTCTTGCTAAATCTTATAAAAAATTATTAATTTATTCGAATAACTACCGAGGTACTAGCGTCATTCCAATCTTTACAAAACTAATAGAAATCTTATTTTAATAATCTGTCCGGAGATAAAAGAAACTCATCCTCTTCAATTCGGTTTTACTAAAAACAGGTCAACCTTACATGCCAAATTTGTTACAACAATAACAACTCACCTGTGTAATACATTACAACAACAACAACTCACCTGTCTATCTTTGTTCCTTCCAAAAAGCATTTGACACCTGTAGCTAGGACATTTCATTTGAGAAACTATACGACAATTGATCTGTCTAAAGCCTTTGACACAGTCAACCATGTCATTTTTTTGAAAAAACTTGAACATTATGGAATAAAAAACAATAATTTACTATGGTTTAAAGATTACTTATCAAACAGACAGCAATACATTCAATATGAAAATGTTAAAACGACAAAAAGTATAATATAATGTGGAGTTCCTCAAGGCTCAATCTTAGGACCGTTAGTGTTTTCTCTTTATACAAATGATCTATCTTTTACCTCAAACATACTAAACTTTATTTTGTTTGCTGATGACTCCAATCTGTTTTATTCTCATAGGGATAATAAAAGCCTCTTTAAAGTAGTTAATGAAGAAGTAAACAAAGTAAATGAATGGGTTAGGGTTTATTTGTAATAAACTTTCACTTAACGTTAACAAAACTAAATTTATTCTTTTTCACAAACCAACCAAAACAAAAAACCTTTCTTTAAAATTACCCAATCTTAAAATCGATAATATAAATATTACTAAGCAAACAACTGAAACTTTTTAGGTATTATTTTAGACGAAAATTTAACATGGAGGAAACATAAACACTCTTGAAAAAAAACTTTCAATAAAATTGCAATGATGTATAAAGCAAAACCATTTTTGGATATAAGATCTCTAAAAAGTTTTCCTTCATACATAGCTTTCAAACTTACGGCGATATCGTATGGGCAAGCAACAGCTACGCTAAGTTAAAGAAAATTTATACAAAACAAAAACATGCATGTAGAATCATTTATCAAATAAAACATGGACTGTCTTCAGCAATATTTTATCCTTATATTAGAGAAATAAGCCATAAATACCCCATCAAGTTCTCAGAAAACTTCTTTGTAACTCAAAAGTATAATCTAAAGTTATGTTCTTATTCTATTCAGTACAGGGGTCCAATTTTGTGGAAAAACTTTCAGCATATAGTTAATATTAAAGAAAAAACATTTCCGCAATTCAAATCTAAATTTAGACGTTATTTAGTACTTACGGATTTTAATATAGCAGATCTTCTATGTCACTTTTAAAGCATTAAAATTTATTAAACTAAATTAGCACCATAAACTTAAAAATCTAGACCATTTAACAATACTAAGAATTTCAATGTCTTTATCATACTTTCATTGAAAATATATATTCTGTTAAAGTTACCTACAATTTTCTTGATATATTTTATAATATTGAAACAGAATTTTTATTTGAATTTTGAATTATTTTGAAAGAAAAGAATATATACAAATATATATGTCGAATCACATCCAATTTATAACCAAAAACAGAAAATTTTTGTCATTTTTATTACTATAATTTAATCATTTCTTTTTTTTTTTTTTTTTTTTTCTTCAATTATTTTAATACTTTTTTTTTTTTCTTTCTAATTTTGTTTCTTAACATTTTAAAATTGTCTTTTTTTATATACTTTTGCTTATATATTACGGATTATTATATATTACGGATATTTATTTGCGTTACTATTGGGGCTCGGTGATAAGGCTATTTTATGCCTTCTTCTTGCTCCAACCAATTGTACTTTTTATAT